TTGCCATTTAAAGCTCTGAATGGCACTGCAACTGCTATGGACAGGCGTGTAGCTTACCATTAGGCGCGCGACTTGTCCCGTCACTTGATATTATATAAAAAATAAAATTTTCATCTATTCTGTAAAATGTTTGATTATACAAGGTAAGTACTATTTATACCATTGTTTATTATCCAATCGTATAACTGTGATAAACGCGCGATTGCAATATTGCATCGCTACATTTGGGTTTTAAAGGCGATTGCATCGATGCAATCCCGCGTTTGTATCGATGCAGTCGCGCGTTTGCATCGATGCAATCGCGCCTTTGCGAGCCACTCTTAGGATCGTATTCCAGAACTCTACTCACTGCTCAAGTCAGGACTTGAGTATGATTTGAAGCACTGGAAATACGACCCTAATGATAAGGACTTGAGTATGATTTCTAGTGCTTTAAATCATACTCAAGTCCTGACTTGGGAATTGAGTAGAGTTCTGGAATACGAACCTAAGACTTCAGCCATTCAAAAGTCATATTCATAATAATTTTTTTTTGCATTTCACATGGCCTGTATGCCCGAGCTTGGGAGAGCAATTAAAAAAAAACTACTTGTTTTTTTTTTTATTATTATTTTTAATGATAGCAAGTAACGGGACGAACTAGTCATGCGCCTGGTAGTGACCGAAACGCCTGTCCATAACAGTTGCAGTGCCACTCAGAACTTTAAAGCACCAAGATCTAAGGGGCCACTGCCACTGTGCCCTTCGGCGTTGACAAGTCCCATGTGACCGTAATTTCACCTTCAAAATCAAAACGCAGTTATGCTCATATTACTGCTTGGTGGCAGAAATAGGTTAGGCAGTACTTCCTGGACTAACTCTTTCGCTACCTACTATCAAGTACATTCATGCATTTACGTCATGCCGCGAATGTCTAAACTGCACAATTTTTCCCGTAAAATGCTATGTGGGACTTTATCATAAAATTAACTTTGATTGTATCGATAATTTATAATAAATAAGGTATATTTCAAATCAACTACTCTGAAAAGGCATGCTTCTTCTTCAATTTAGGTATCTAAATCAACACATTAGCGGAAATTTTGTGTTGTCACAGATTTTTATTTAAATTATTTATTTAAGTCAACTAACAGTAGTCCCACAACCAGCAGTAACAATTAAAACTTATAAATATTTTTTAGAGTAATAAAAATAAATAAAATTTAAATGTAATGGTTGCGTCACGAACACCGTTAACCACTAGGAAGCAATGCCACACGGGCATTGCTAGTGCGTTGCGTGTGTCATCGCAACGCTATGATTTCAACGCCCCAAGCGTCACACGAGCAATGCGGTGTCGCAACGTAACGTTAACTTAATTACGCATCGCAGCATCCACGGGCCAGGAGACGATGTGAGACGCACTTGTCCTTGTCCGATGCACCACCATGTACAAAGACATAGATATGTCTGTATATATTTATAATTTAAATAGTACACCGCTCAGATGGTGCAACGCTGACGCAACGCATCATGTTACATAGCTCTAATTACTAGAATAAAGCTGAGCAAAGAAAAAAAAAATAGATACTTACAATATAAACTACTAAAAAGTTTGATAAATAATTACATACATATACTTAAGCAGACTTACTTTATTAGATTTTCATTGTATTCTTTCAATTGGCGGTTTCACAAATGCATGAGAATATGATAATAGTATTTATAAATAGTTGATAAAATAGGGTAGGGTAGGGTTCATAGTCCATCTGAGTAGGAAGTACATTTTCTGATAATTTATTACTGTGGCAGTGAGAATGTAATATTTCAAGTAATATAAAAAAACATGACTTCAAGTAGATATCCTGAAAAAAGTGCTTTAGTACTGTTGATAAAGAATGCAATGATAAATAATTCATAGTTATCGCCACACCGTTCCATATCGGTCGGTAAACAAATATATAACGGCTAATATTGATTGCTTTCGTCAGTGCATTTGAATCATTTGATAACTCCGGTCTGTAGTCTGCAAAAATGGCGTATTTCGGGAAGGAATTTGTTTTGGACAGACAGGAGAACTTTACAGAATTTATTGAATCCCTGAAAATGGGCAAGTATAATAAAGCTTATTAATATCTGGACATTGGATATGAAACTATTTTTTCGGATCTAAATCGTATATTATTTTTTCAAACAAGTAAATGTTTTGGGCCCTTTAAACGTCCTGTGGTCACGGTTGACTGCCGTCAGTCATTCATTCATTTCCAATGTGCAACAATCGCGAAAGCTTAAGTAAGAACTTGAAGTGTCTGATGGACAGGTTAATTAATAGATATATTCATAAAAGTAAAGGAGAAAAGCGTGTTGTTACTAGGATACTATGGGTCGAGAGTACTCTCGGTGGGCCCTCTAAATCCAAGTGGCCCATATGTACGAGAGTACTCGATTCACTTCGTAGTCGTTATAGATTTATTCGAATTTAAATTTCGAATCAATCTCATGGTCCATTTTCAATTATTAATCTTCAACAACACTTGTCTTAAATTGCTCGTATTTCTAGAAAAATTGAACATCGTGTAGTTCACTGGCAGGTCCCTATATCGCAGAGTTCTGAGCGTGGACTCAAGCGGGACGTTATATACTCGGCAAGTCGGAACTTGTAAGAAACAAACAAAATAAAAAAACAAAAGAGAACATGAAACATTCTAACGTAGAATATAAATAAATAATTACAAAACAAAAAATAAAATTAAATCTCAAAATATTTACTTAAACACGGGCACTAAGTTTAAAGACACATTAACTCAGCTGTTGCTGGAAAACGTAATGCGTTCAAAACACTAATTCTGAGTTCAGGACCCTAAGTGAGAACGTGTAAAGATGGCACTGTTAAAGACACGCCACACGATACGTTGCGTCGACGTTGCGACGTCACAACTGCCTCCGTGGCGGAACGGTTACCATGCCGGACTGCCACGCAGAGGTCCAGGTTCGATTCCCGGGCCGGGAGAAATATTTGTATGGCCTATATTTGTTTCTCTCGTGAGTTTGGGTGTAATTTGTAGTTGTCTATGAGTGTATCTATGGCACCCGCGACACAGAGCTTCCCTTGTGCGGGACTGTGTTGAGTGTGTGCGTTATAAAAAAAACTGTGACGCTGCCTTGTACTACATATAAATTAGAACTACATGCTAGTAGTAGTAGCATGTAGTTTTATATTATGTGGCAAAATCATAGCGTTGCGACGACGCAACGCACCGGAAGCGCCCGTGTGGCATCGCTCTTAAGGTCGCATTCCAGAACTCTACTCAATAGTCAAGTCAGGACTTGAGTATGATTTCAAGCACTAAAAATCATACTCAAGTCCTGACTTGAGCATTGAGTAGAGTTTTTAACCGACTTCAAAAAAGGAGGAGGTTCTCAATTCGACTGTATGTTCTTTTTTTTTTGTATGTATGTATGTTACGCGATAACTCCGGTATTTGTGAACCGATTTTCATGATTCTTTTTTTGTTGGAAAAGGGGGTACTTCCATAGTGGTCCCATTTCATTTTGAAGGAAATCATCCACCTCAAAGGGTGGCTGTTCACGCATGAAGATTCATTTTTATAAATAGCGCCTAACTTTAATTTAGGAGCAATTACTTTTAGCAATTATTTAGTTGATTTTGCTATTTCATCAATTCAAGGCGTTTTTCCCTCGATATACTTTGAGTACTGTCGTAGTGAGAACCTATTTTTATTATCTCCAGTATCAAGTCCTGTATAGTGGCGAACTAGGGGATATTTCAATGAAACTTAGCAAATAGACGTAATTCCACGTACTTTTGAGGTCGGTTTTTTTAGTACTCTGTACTGAGATTATGGAATATGACCCTGAGGGTCGTATTCCAGAACTCTACTCAATAGTGAAGTCAGGAATTGAGTATTGCAGTGAGCACTGAAAATCATACTCAAGTCCTTGCCATTAGGGTCGTATTTCCAGTGCTTGAAATCATATTCAAGTCTGCTCAAATCCTGACTTGAGCATTGAGTAGAGTTTTGGAATACGACGCTTAGTCACCATTGTGTATAATTAAGGAAACACATTGGCGGGTCACATTTGTGTTCTATAGGTAAAAATCAGCAAATGCCGAATACTCAATGTAAAATCTGTATTCACAGAAATCCCTCCTGAGATCAAGAAGGCCGTGATAAATTCCAAATCATTGGCGAAAATCGATAAAAACGGTGATGAATACACGCTCTCATCTGTCAAAGTTGACGGCAGCACGTCCAGCAGGACTTTCAAGAGTGGTGTTGAATATGAAGAAACTAACTTTGGTAGAACTGTAAGTATTATCATATTCTTCTTTTTAACCGACTTAAAAAAGGAGGCAAGTAAAATTAATGTTTGGCGGCAGAAGTAGGTGGCAGTACTTCCCAGAACGAACTCTTTCACAAGGAACTATACTGCCTTTAAAAATAAAAAATATATCGTACGCAATTAACTATAATAATACTTTGTATTATATTGTGCTAATTTTCCTACGCAGGGTAAGGCGGTTATCACTGTAGACGGTGACACCTTCACTCAAGTGCAAAAGTACCCCGAGGGGACCCTCACGACCACGAGGAAATTCTCTCCTAACGAACTAGTGGTGGTAAGCAATTTTGTATACAGTATAATTTGGTGCTTCAAAAGCAGTGTAGTGTAATTTAATACTAGAAGCTCGCATACGCATTTTGACTTTGAAAAAGGAAGAGGTTCTGAATTCGACTGTACTTTTTTGTAAGTATGTTACGCGATTTGTAAACAGAGTTTGATGGTTCTATTTTTGTTGGAAAGAAGGTACCTCAGTGGTGGCCCTGATTTAAATTTGAAGATAATATTCCACCTCTAAGGGTGGCAAACTAGTTTCAGTTTGTATGTAACAATATATACGCAAAATTTGAAGTCGGTTCCTCTTTTTTAATAAAAATTACTGTATCTTATAACATAGTTTATTTTTACTTATTTTTGTTGATGCAAAACTTATGAAGCTTTTGTTTAAACATATTATTAAAGTAATAGTAGTAATAGCATCCGAAAAAGGTATATTTAAATAATTCAAATGCTATCTACGAATATTATTGTGTTTATTCTTTATAAAAAAGAAGACGGTCTTCAATTCGACTATATATATTTTTTAATGTATGTTACGCAATTACTCTGACATTTGAAAATCTTTTTTGTTGGATGGTTTTTAACATCATTGGGTCACAGATTCGGGGATGGATCCAGTTCATTAGATTTCTGCCAGTTTCCGTTAACCGATTTCAATAAAATTTAGCAAATAAATGGATTTCTACATTTCCACAAACTTTTAAGATCGTTTTTTTTGTAAAAAAAGTTATAATTATATACCACAATTTTGTCTTCGTCCCTGAATTACAGAAGTTTCAAGAAATTATTAACAAATAGACTTTTAACGTTTACTTCTACTTTTATGCGACAAAAAAAATGTGAAAAAAAATAGTCATACCTAGGGTTATGGAAAAATATAAACGTAAAATAAAATATAATAACACATATTTAATAAAACATATTTTTCCCATTTTTTCAATTTCTCCTACATATTTACTTTTTTTTTAATTCAACCATTTGCATTTTTTCGGACAATTGCCCAACAAAACAGTTAGACTTATCTTAATTAACGTTACATTTTCATTTTCTCTTTCAGACAATCACCTTTAGTGGTTGGGACGGGGAAGCTAAGCGATACTACAAAGCAAAGTGAACATAATGTTTTTTATTGTTAGAGTTGTAATTAATAACCTACTTAAGATTTGCGTTCTCAATAAATGTTTTCCACGTTATGACGAGTTTATTATTGTAGCATTTGCTGACGAGGGTCTATTAGAAGTTTATTAAAAATATACAATTAGATATAGGAAATGAAACTATTTTTCCGGATTTAAATCGCCTATATTTGTTTTTTTCAAATATACGCGATTTAAATCCGGAAAAATAGTTTCATTTCCTATGTGTAACAATCGCGAAAACCTAAGAACTCGATATATACAATTAGAGATGTGAAAGTTTTTAATTTATGATACAAAGTGACGTGACGAACAAGTCGTACGCCTGCTGGTAAGCGACACACTTGTCCAAAGCAGTTGCAGTGCCACTCAGAGCTTTACATTGCAAAGATCTGAGGTGCATTGTCACACAGAGACATAAGTTGACAAGTTTCATGTGCCTGTAATTTCATCAGCACCCTTATTGTTATATAAACGTATTTATATAATTATTTTTTGTTCGAAAGGAGATAGGTACCTTAGTAGTGGTTCCATTTAAATAAGAAAATTATCCACCTCTATCTAATGGTGGCAAACTAGGGGATGAATCCGGTTTCACGTATTTTCCGTTAACCGATTTCAATCAAACTTGGCAAATAGATGTAATTCTAATAAAAAAAGACGATACGTGAACTTTTGAGGTCGGTTCTTTAAAAAAAAGTTATTATTTAATTGTCAATATTCAACATTATAACCAAACTTTTTGTGATAGTTTTTTTTGGTAGCACTCATCACACATTGTCCCTGATTTACGTCAAAATATCTTGAACTTTGTTGGTAGGTCAATATTTAAACTTGAAAACTTCAGTAATTTTAGAATATAAAGATATTAATGAACACTACTACAATCAAACATATCCATGTTTAAAGTATCATAAAATTAATAAAAACTGACACATTCAATTAATAAGAACAACCTAGTAGAGTCATTGTGAAAAAGTTCCTCCAGGGAAGTACTGTCACCGTACCTATTTGTCCTGCCAAGCAGCCATGTAAGCATTAGTGCGTTGCGGCTTTAATTGGGTGTTGGCGAAACTCTATAGTTTAGGCACACGGGACTTGTAAAGGGTTTCGACGACGACGAGCTCTGCTCTATGTCGATGTAACATGTTGTCGGAGTAGCGTGTGTCGAAGTTCAGTTATAACATCCTGAGTGGCATTGGTTAAGAGCAGGTGTGTCGCTTACCACCAGGCGCACTACTTGTTCGTCCCGTCATTTAATATCATATTAAACAAACTTTACAATTTCATCATTTTTACTTTTGTAAAATGAGAGAGGGTTTCGTTAACCGATTTTAATAAAACTTGACACGGACATGTAATTCCAATGAAAATAAAACTTATGGTGACCTAGAGCTGATCTGATGATGCAAAAAGCTATCAGACGAGCGAAATTTTCATCACCTTGTTCCGGTTTTGAAGGGTAAGGGTGCTGGTGTAATTATAGGCACATGGGACTTGTCAACTTATGTCTCAGGGTGTCGGGCACAGTGACAGTTCCCCTCAGATCTTTGCGATATAAAGCTCTGAGTGGTGTTGCAACTGTTATGGACAGGCGCATAGCTTACCATCAAACGCACGACTTGTTCGTCCCGTCACTTGAAATTATAAAAAAAGCTCCTCATCAGTGTACAGCAGCTACCTTGTGTTTGGCTCATAATATGATTCGTTATGACGAGGACTTCTATATGACTTTCAGGTATCGTTGAGGAGAGTACCGGACCGATTGGTAACGAACACACTGAAAGCGGATAAACAAACTTTTATAAAAAATGTTATAATTATTTCATTGCACGCTGTAGCAGCTTATCATTTTAATAGTGTTATTTATGAACCCCATTGCAATGCAACTTTATTCATTGCATAGACGCAATGAGTAAAGTTGCATTTATATTAAACTCTGTATTGCTTAATGTTAATTGTTATATGTAGAACTGAATACCAAT